TACTAACATGAAACACGTCATGCACTTCGGACAACTGCGGCGGTAAAGCCAAACGGTAGGCAACCTCGCCAATCCTCTCAAGGATCTCGAAAGGACCAGTAAACCGAGGGGACAACTTCCCACTCTTCCCAAACATCATCAATCCCAGCCTAGGTGATATTTTCAAAAAAACATGATCACCCACCTCAAATACCAACGATCTCCTCCTACGGTAGGCATAACTCTTTTGACGGCTCTGGGCTGTAACGAACCTCCTACGGATAAGTTCAACCTTCTCCGTCGTTTCCCGAACAAACTCCGGGCCCAACAAAGGTGCATCGCCCACCTCGGCCCAACAAACAGGAGACCTACACGGTCGGCCGTACAAGGCCTCGAACGGTGCCATACCGATACTCGACTGGAAACTGTTGTTGTAGGCAAACTCCACCAAGGGAAAGTGCCTCTCCCACGACCCGCTAAAGTCAAGAACACAACCTCGAAGCATATCCTCAAGGATCTGAATAGTCCGCTCGGACTGCCTGTCAGTCTGAGGATGATAAGCCGTACTAAAGGTCAACTTAGTGCCCAAGGTACTCTGCAAGCTCTGCCACAACCTAGCAGTAAAACGTGGATCTCTATCAGAGACAATCGTCACTGGGACCCCGTGCAACCTCACTATGTCCCAAATATACAAGTTGGCAAGATGATTTACCGAATCTCTCATGCACATAGGGATAAAGTGCGCTGACTTAGTCAGCCGGTCAATAACCACCCAAACAGCATCACTACCCCGCTGAGTCCTCGGAAGACCTACAACGAAGTCCATAGTGACATGCTCCCACTTCCACTCGGCAATAGGCAAGGGTTGCAACAAACCCGCTGGCCTCTGATGCTCGGCCTTCACTTGCTGGCAAGTAAGGCACTTAAATTGTGACGTAGGATAGTTTGGGAAATGTGGATGATGCTGTCCACACTTGATTTTTTACTAGTTTTGGGGCCAAGAAAGGTTGTGGATTTAGAGTTCAATAAGGTTGGATGGTTCTAGTGTTTGTGACCGTAACGGATTATGATTGTCTTGCATTTTGAAGTTAATTTGTGGAGAATAAGGTAGAAGGAATGAACTTTTGTTGGGAACAATTGACTAGGCTTGCTTTACGTTGTAATGCTGGAGTGGAATTTCATAGATTGATGCATTGAAAAAGCAACATGAAAAGAAATCATTATTTAATTAGGAGTCTTTTCTATTAGACCAATTATTTATGTTCATTTTGCTTTTCTAGCATTGGACCAATATCATGCAATATTCTCTTGAATTTATTATTTGTATAATCATGACTAAGTTTGCTCTTTCATTGGTATGGGACTCCATTTTTTTTCCTTTTCTAAACCCTTCTTTTTGTCTCACTTATGCTCTCTATTAAACTGTTATAGGTTTGGGCAAGATGGGTAACAATTTGACCATGTCCTTTTCACTTAAAAAGAAAAGGTATAATAGTTTTTTTTATGGCTAAAATTACATTGACCACTCCTGAGGTTTGGCTATAACACTCTCACTGACCCTACCATATAAAAAATTACATTGACCACCCTTGTCAGACTTTGCTGGAAACATTATTAACAGGTGATGCCAATTTATTCTTTAATCCTTATAAATTAAAGCCCTTACTATTTCTGCCAATTTATCACTCAAAACCTTTTTTTCTCAACATAACCATCACGACCCTGTCTTGCAGTGCCCACCCCTTCAAATGAAACCTGGACAAAATCGTCTTTGACGACTCACTTCCACCACCAGTCCAAGACCCATATTTCTCTAGCCTCTTTCGCTCCGTCTTCTATCTCTCTTTCTGATAGATCCACAATAATATGAGCCATAATGAATGCCAAGCCCTCCACCTTTGATCTAAACTACCAATCAACAAAGCACGCAACGGGCACACATTCTAACTCCTAATCAACTTCAACATCTCTGGTGAGCTGAACTTTGCAATCTCTAACTTTTATGCCCATCTGTAAGCTCTTAAACCCATTCAACCTGCATATTGTCTGACAATAGCTAAATGATTGTTATATTTGAATCAATGGAGAAATAGGCAAAAGAATATAAAATATATGGGTCATGGGCGCAGTGGTTTTTTAAAGGCCATGCTTTATTGGTGGACCTGGTGGCTGATTCATGTTGCTTATCTGGAGTAGATGTAGATGGAAATGGTGTTGATTTGTAACATCAACAAACCCTGTCTTGCATTAGTGGCATTTTGATCAGTTTACAACTACTATAACAATACCCTTGTTGAAAAGTTTTTTCATTGCCAAGCCTTTTTCTTACTTTTGGTCAATAATCCTTCTCAGAGCATATCTTTTATCAAGCTAGGCTTTGGGTTGTGTATGGTATCTGATAAATGATGGATGAGAGGGGTTTGATTTTGGTGGAGGCGGAGGCGGAGGCAATGTTTGTGGTAGTTGTGGTCTTTTTGGCTAGCAAAGTGTGTGTGTGCCCACCATTATGGCCATTAGCAAGTTGGGCATTGATGGCGAAGATTAGGGGAACTGAAATTCTGCATATTGTGATCCATTGCATTGGGTCTATCATTGCAAAGCTGCTCTAAATCGAAGAGAAATGCCTCTCGTGTTTGGGTGTTTGGAAACTTTTTGGTGATTCATGGATGATTGTGTTGTTGTGGATGTTTAAGGTTGAGTGTGGTGGTAAAGTAGGTAGTGATTGGAGTTTGTGAAACATGGGGTTGGAATTGGGTTATGTGATGGTGGTGGTGTTGGTGATGAAATAGGGGTTCAATGGTGGTGGTGGTTGATGATGGTGCTAAATCGACAGACTAGTGTTGGTTGTTTAGTGATGGTAATGGTAGAGTTGTTTGGTGACAATGGTAATGGAAGAGTTGTGTCCAATTAATATATATATAGAAAAAGAGAAGTGGTGGTGATAGATGATCTGGCTTAGAGTGACGCATGTCACCACTTGGCTAGTTATATCAAGGGTGAAGTAGGCATTTCAAAATTTTAAAATAAGATGTCATATTTCATTTTTCTCACCAATGGTCAGTTAGCAATAGGAGGAAATTTGTTACATGATTTCCCAAATAGAGGAATTATTAATACCATAAGGTAGCAAGTGTATTAAAGCCAAACCCTTGGGGTGGTCAGCATAATTTATCTTTAACCACCGGAGTTTGGCAGTGGTGAGAGCCAGTTTACATCATTAGGGGGTTATGTGTCCAATTCCCCACTTTTCCTCCAATGTTCCAGAAAAAAAGGAGTAATTGATCCTGAAAAATCTAGATTCGTCCTGTGATTTCGTGATTATCGATTTAGGCAACCCAATAAAAAAATATGCAACCATGATCAATATAGAGAAGGGAGGGAGAGAGAGAGAGAGAGAGAGAGAGAGAGAGAGAGAAATAAAACAACCACGACACAAAAAAAAAAAATTGTGGAAAAATCACAATTGGAATCCACACCAACTTGTGATAAAAAATCATGGGCCCCTGTCCAGACGAATAATCCATTATGAAAGAAAAGTAGTGCAAGAGATATCTTACAAAAGGCTAATCTAGGAATACGCGTTTGCTCAATCTACAAGTAGCTCCACTTGCTCCTTCACTGGATATCCACTTCCGCTATTGAATCCATGATAACGGTGTCAAATCCAAGACGCCAATGACTCCGGAATCTACTGAAGCTTACGATCTTGGAATCCACCAAGAAGGTTCACTTTTGAAAGGTGTGAAGAACTTTTACAACTTGATGATTAGCTTTAAAGCACCTATGAGCTAATGAATCATTAAGCAAAATGTGAGAGAGAGTTACAATAAATCCTCACTACAATTTCTCTCAAAAACATTTCTCCCTCACGAAAATAATCTCTCTACAAACATAGATCTCTCAAAATAAGTCTCCCTCAATGTTAGACAATATAATGAGCTCCAGAGAGGTTCAGAGGAGATATGGAAGAGATATAAAAATGATTTGGGAAAGATACCCAAATAATTCAGCAAAGGGTCTTTTAAATAGACTTGAGGCCCATCTAACAAAAAAATAAAAAATAAAAAAATAGACTTGAGGCAGAGCACCATAGTGAGCGCGGTCATGGACATCACAACGCGACTGTGACATGAGCGGGCGTGGAGGGAAAGAATGTGGGTGCTATTGTGTCATGTGCGGGCATGGGCGCGGGTCTTCATCGCGGGTTGCAGACAAAAGTATTAGGAGCTCATTTTGGTCGCATCTTGAACGTAGGCGCCATTCATGTTCATCGCGGGTGCGATGATCTTGTTCGCGGGTGCAATGGTCATAATGACCAATAACCAGCTGTTGTTGCAGCCTTTTTGCTCTGTTTTTGTCAACTATTTCAGCCCATGCTTTAGCCACCCTATAGCTCTGACAAACAGCCATCTTTTGCCTCAAAAAAGTCTTGTCTTTACAATGTACGATTTTTCAAAAAGATTCAATCAAGATCTTCCATAATCTAACTTAATGAATCAAGGCAAATCATATCCAAATGTTGCCAAACTTTAAGATAGAATTGTAAGATTTCTGAATGATTTTTGTGTATTCAATTGTAAAAGTAATACAAGAATACATCTAATTATATAGTAATCCTAACTCTAAGACTAAAAAGGAAAGAGAATATTTACAATTTCAACATATATACAAAATATATACTACCATATATAGAGATACTCTAATTTTCTCACACCCCACTCAAACTCACAGTGTTTTAGTAGAAAACACTAAGAGTTTGCCAAGAAGAAATTGAAACCGAGCAGTGGTGTGAGTTTTGGTGAAGAAGTTAGCAAGTTGCATAGTCAAAGAGACAAAAGGAAGCGAGATAGAGTCAGACTGCAGATGCCGGCAGACAAAGTGACAATCAATCTCAATGTGTTTCGTCCGCTGATAGAAGATAGTGTTATGGGTAATTTGAATAGAACCTCGGTTGTCACAGTATAGAGGTGTTGGAGAGGAGACGATTGAGGGACACCCAAATCAGACAGGAGACAACGAAGTCAGACAATCTCAGCAGTAGCATGAGCCATAATACGGTACTCAGTTTCGGCAGTAGAGCGAGTAATAATAGTTTGTTTCTTGCTTTTCCAAGAGATCAAGGAATTGTCGAGAAACATATAGAAACCAGAAATAGACTTGCGATCAGTAACATCACCAACCCAATTAGAATCAACATAGGCCACTAAGTCCAAAGAGGAAGTAGAAGACAACAGTAAGCCCTGAAATATAGTACCCCAAAGATAGCAAAGGATCCGAACCGAAGCAGCCCAATGTGTAGAGTGAAGAGCAGAGATGAACTGGCTAACCACATGAACAACATAGGCAAGATCATGACGAGTAACCATCGATATAAAGTAGGATCATCCATAGGGACTCCATCAGTAGTGTTAAGTTTCACATTAAGCTCAATTGGGGTATCATAACTCTTAGTGTCAGTAAGGCCGGGACAGTGAATAATCTCATTGGCATATTTGGCTTGAGATAGAAAGTAGCTTTTGGGAGAAGAAGTTACCTCAATACCAATAAAATAGTGTAGCCCAGATCCTTCATTTTGAAGGTGCAGAAAAGATGTTGCTTGACCTCAGAGAAAGCAGAAGAATCAGAGCTAGTGATGATCATATCATCCACATACAGTAACAGGGCAACAAAACTAGCAGAGGTGTGGAGGAGAAACAAAGCAAAATCTTGGTCACAATGATGAAACCCCAACCGAGCAACAACTATCTAAAAACGATCATACCAAACACGAAGAGATTGCTTTAGATCATACAAAGCATGCCAAAGATGACAAACCTGTCCAAGGGAATGGGGAAGGCCAGGGGGAGGATGCATGTAAATCTCCTCAGTGAGATAACCATTAAGAAAAACATTCTTAACATCCATCTAATAGAGAGGCCAATGACGAACAACAACGACATATATTAAATTATGGACAGTAGTCATCTTGGCAATAGGGGCAAAGATCTCCTCATAATCAATACCATACTCCTATAAGAAACCTTTGGCAGCCAGACGAGCTTTGTAGCGCTCAAGGGATGACTTTGTAGACCCATTTACAACTAGCCAAATTCTTACCAGTAGGCAAATGAACCAACTCCCAAGTACGAGTTTTTTGTAAAGCAGAGAACTCATCCTCCATAACTTGAACCCAATGAGGATCCTGACAGGCCTCCTTGTAAGATTGAGGTTCTGAAAAAGAGTGAATAGCAGACAAAAAAAAAAAGAGTGAATAACAAACAAAAAGGAGCAATATGAAGGGGAAAAAAACATGTTTTAGCAAAACTAAGTTTGATTACCTGTTTATAGATGCGAAGGGGATACTTACGGTTATCAAGATCAGAGTCGTTAGAAGCAAGGGGGTCAATAGCAGAGGCAGAGACAACTGGTGGAGGGAGAGCCTTGTGACATGAATTGACAAACAACGGAGGAGGAAAAGAAGCAGGAGAGAGAGGAGAGAGAGAAGAGGGAACAGACTCATGGGGGACTGGGGAGAGGGATTTAGCTGGAAGGGTGGTAGAAGGAGAAGAGGGAACAAGCTCATAGGGAATAGTTGAGATGTACTCATCATGAAGGACCTTAGAAGGAAATGGATCAATGTGAACCAAATCCTCTTTGGAAACCGGAGTAGTGATAGGAGGAAGCTGAAAGTAAGACAGACGTTCGAGAAAGGAAACATGGCAGGATACATAAAGGCGATGGGAAATAGGGTCGTAACAGCGATATCCTTTTTAAATAAGACTATAACCTAAAAAGACACACAGGACAGATCAGATACTAAGTTTGGTCCTATCTTACGGGAAAGAAGAACGAAACAAGCAGACCCAAACACACGAAGGGGAGAGTAATTGGGAAGTCGAGAAAACAGAGCCTCATAAGGAGATCGATCAGAGAGAAGGGGGACTAGGCATATGGTTAAGAAAAAATGCAGCAGTAAGAATTGTCTCATCCCAAAATGGAGTTGGAACAGAGGTAGAAAGAAGAACAGACCTACCTATCTTAAGGAGATGATGGTGTTTACGCTCGGCTCGACCATTTTGAGCAGGTGTATCAGTATAAGAAGTTTGGTGAATGGTACCTAAATTGGCCAAATACTCACAGAACTCAGTTTTAAAATATTCCCCACCCAAGTCAGACCGTAACAATTTAATTGTAGACCCAAACTATGTGATGATCATAGACTTAAAAGTACGGTATATTTGGTAAAAATCGAACTTATGAGTCATAGGATAAACCCAAGTGTAATGGTTGCAATCATCAACAAATGACATATAGTAAGCAGAACCTCCTTTGGTGAGGACAAGAGGACTCTAGACATTAGTATGAACTAAAGAAAACGGTGTATCAAAAATAGAAGTACTTCTACAAAAAGGTTAGACTATCATTTTGGCAAGTTTATAGCCACGACACTCAGTAAGTTGATTTAGAGAAACTTTACCCAATAAACCTGATTGATCTAAAGACTGTAAGTGGTCAGCAGACAAATGTCATAATCTAGAATGCCACAAATAAAAAGGACTCAACAGAGAAGCCAACTGAAAAGAGGAAAAGCAGTCGGAGAAGTAGTCATAAGCAAATGCAAGCTCTCCATCATATAGAGGTCTCCAACTCTACGCCCGGTCCTAATTTGCTGCTTGGACATTTGATCCTGCATAAAACAAAGAGAAGAAGAAAAGATGACATCAAAACTAGAGGCATCAAGCGGACTGATAAATAATAAACTGACAGATAACTGAGGAATATAAAGGATAGATGGAATACTAACAACAGACATATCAGACGGTAGGATATACTTAACATATAAAACAGATGTTAAAAATTCAAGTATTATTGATTGATGTGTGTTGTTGTTGTGATATTGATATTACAAGGATTCCTATTATATAGAAGAGGATTTGGGTAGTAGGTGAGGAGTAGGTGAGGGTAAATTGGTGGTAGGTGTAGTAGGTGTGGTAGTAGGTGGTGGTAGGTGTAGGTAAATTTTAACAGCCCCCCGCAAACTCAAGGAGGATAGAAACTAACCAACTTGAGTTTGGAGAGAAGAGTAAAACAAGAAAATACATAAAAATAAAAAAGGATAGGAGACACTGCATGGTCGTGTCACACCGTTGTAGAAGACTGTATGGTTATGGTAGACCGATGTAGAAGACAGTTTATGGGGTCATGTCGGACCGTTGTAGAAGACAGTTTACG